ATGAAGTTGAAAGCTTGGGTTCTTTGGGGTTTCGGGCTTGGCCTTCTGTAGCATAGGCGGCGACTCTTCGTCGTCCTGAGAGGAAGCACTGCAGATAATAATAAATTGTAGAACACCGGCCTTTGCAGCCTCCAGATCAGATTCCAAGCTTCGGCGAACATCCTCCAGCAAAGGGAAGATTTAGAGTGTTGAGCTCGGGCAACAGATGTGGGGGGTCCTTCGTCTTGAGCTTCTTGGCTTCACCAATAAGTAAGCCCGACTTCTTGTTCTGAGACCACAGAGCTTCCGTGGATGCTGCAGAGCCCTGCACAATGGGCAATTAGACCCCCCAATCCTGTGCTCCCGACAGTGAAGCAAAGGGTCCTGGGACTTGGATCGTTTCCTCGTCATGACTGGCTGCTCGTCCGGGGAATCTCCTGCAAATCTGTCTGTTCACTGATCAGGACGACAGACGAGCTGCGGCGGCCTGGGGCGGTGGTGCAGCTGCCGATACTGGTCCTTCGGCTTTACAAATTGGATTGGCTTTTCTGTGCTTGTTGCTTCGATTCGGACTGGCCTCGAGGTTTCCTTTCGGAGGGCGTGTCTGGCTTGCCGGCCGTCGGCCAAGAATTGCTCCAAGCATAAAGCATCCATGTCGCTCGCCCTTGCTAGCTTAAGCTGGCCTAGAGAACACCTGCACCAGCAAAATGCTGGCTGTTGCTGGAGCACGACAGAAAGCACTTGTGCAAATGCCGAAGTGTGCCCACGATGCTCACCCAATGTGCTCCCACATGATCGCCATCTCACGATTTCTCACGGTTTTCTCACGGTTTCCATTAAGAGCCTAGCTGCTCGATTGCCGGGCCGGGCATGTAGCTTCTCACGGTTTCTCACGCTTATCTCACGCTACTTTGGTGGTCCTAGTGTGCACCCCTTTGCCTGGCCCAGGCAGCAGGAAAAATCGCATCTCGGCTGTCACTCAGCCCGTCTTGAAATCAGCATCATTCCTGGCAAGGTTTGGGGTAAACCCTAGCCAGCTAAAACCCATCCACCCAATACCCTAAAACTGCCAAAACTCTTGAAGCCTCGAGGGCTTAAACCCGACCCCCCGAAACCCTGCAAGCCTCAACCCTTGCAGCCTTAAGCCACCAAACCCTGAAGCCCCTGAACCCTGTAACCATCAACCCTCTAACCTTACACCCTTAGGCCCTGGAACCCTAATCCCCGAAACCCTTAAACCCCTAAACCCTGAAACCGCCAAACCCTGAGCCTCTAAGGGTTTAAGGCCGAATTGAAAGGAAGAGCTTCGAAGTCCAGGAGACATTTCGCTGATAGGGGTTCAAGGCTTTAGGGAATTAGGGCTTTAGGGGTTTAGGGCTTTCAGGGTTTAGGGCTTTAGGGGTTTAGGGCTTTTGGGGTTTAGGGCTTTGGGGGCTTAGGGCTTTAGGGGTTTACAGGCCTTAGGG